AAATATATAAATTCTAAATAGTATATTCATAACATTTGAAAAGAATATTGAATGCTATGTGGGTAGGTGCCATAGATGGGAAACATGTACGAATAAGAAAGCCAAGAATAAGTGGGTCCCTTTTCTACAATTATAAAAATTTTTTTTCAATTGTATTATTGGCGATTGTAGACGCAAAATACAATTTCATTTACATAGATGTTGGGGCATTTGGAAAAGAATCGGACAGCACCGTATTCGAAAGGAGCAATTTGTATGAACAACTTGAAAATAATGAGTTACATATTCCAAGGGGCAAACCTCTCCCAGGAACTGTAAGTCCAAATATGCCCTACACGTTCGTTGGTGATGAAGCGTTTTCACTGTCAAAAAATATAATGAGACCTTACAGTGGTAAATATTTGGTGGACAAAAAAAGGATTTTTAACTACAGGTTATCTCGTGCTAGGAGGAATGTCGAGTCTGCATTTGGAATACTTTCTAATAAATGGAAAATATTTCATAAGCCAATAAATGCAAATTTGGATTTATCAATACTTTTAGTGAAGACATGCTGTGCTCTCCATAATTTTGTTAGGGCTAGGGATGGGTTTAAACTAGTAGATACTATGTATATAGAAGGATCCATTGGACAACAAGACTTTCAAGAACACCCAAGACCCTCTAGAGCACCTAATCAGTTTATTCAAGCTAGAAACCAGTTGGCAGATTATTTTGTTTCCGATAACGGTAGTGTCCCATGGCAAACAAATTATATTTTATATTTTATATTAAAATCTTGTATAATTATTCATTATTCGTATAATTTGTATTATATTATTTACTGTATTTACCTATTCAAAACGCTAATAATCTAAAATAAATTAACAAAATATATTAAACCACGGATGTATTTTTTTAATACAACATAAGGCGATTATTGATCAATACCCAATGTCACAATATACAATATCGAATAAGTGTGCGTCAGTCCCTAAAATGACCGTCTAGACGTTCAGCTGATAAAAATTAAAAATAGCTACTCTCAATAACAATGAATATTAATAACTATTTATAACTAATACGAGTAAGACTAATATAAGACCTATTATAAGACGTAACAACAGATAATATTGTTTACTGTGTGTTTGTGTAGAATGTAGATAATAATTAAAAATATGTGGCTTGGCAAAAAAACCATTAAAATAGAAAAAAAATGTGAAGCTATAGCTTGATAAAGTAATTGAAAGTTTAATTTGAATAACTCACTTTTAAAATTCGTAATACTCACTGAAATTTTGTCCTACACATAATTTTAGGGACTGATCCCAAGTCAACTAGGTTAGAAAACTAGTATTATTATAGTAAAATTAGAATATTATTTGTCAGAATATCTTAAAAGTTTAAACTTACAAGTTGCAATTTCGAAAAAATGTTATAAAATAATACTTACATATTTCATTTCTTTCCTTCTCGTCTTTTTCGTCGAAATCTTTACAAAATATACGACAAATTTTAATCCATGCCCCTCTTTTTTTCTGTCGATCATGGTATGTTTCGGCAGCAATATTCCAAATTTCTGGATGATTTTTTATTTCCCCGATAAATAGCTCAATGTCAAAATTCTCTTCAAGATTTTCGGACATATTTTTTTTATGTTTTGCGGCAAAATGACGCTTTTGTGCACTGCACAATACGAAAACACGTTATGACGCTCCGCAAATGCGAGTGCGGTGCCGCGGCGGTGCCTCGGGGAATTGCGGTACTCGATCGCCCGCAAGTTGACGCGCGGTGCCGCTGCGTCACCGCGCGTTCGTGTGCATAGTTCAATCCAGTTGTGAGTAAACTCAAACGTAAACGCGGTACCGCGCGTTTAAAAACCGCACGTGTGCATCAAGCCTAATAGTTGCTTTTGGTGAAGTGGATTGGATTAATGCTCACAATATTTATGTTGGATACATAATGACAATACAAAATAGTATAGTAAGTTTATATATAGACTATATTGTATTTAAGTTTAAGAGTTAAGCATTATAAATTAGCCATAACTACAATTTAACCTGTTACAATGTGTAGTGTCCTAAGCTTGTACCTAATAATAACTAGATAAATACATTCAATATTATCTTCACAATTTGGAGGCGACAAAAGAAATTAATGTTCTATTAACAATTTCTATTTTTGAGTAAAAGGTTTTTAGTATTTAGTATTTTAAAATTACTTTACTACTACCAAAATATATTGTAAAAATAAATAAATATCTATAAGTTTAGTTATTTAGATTCAAATCGTGCAAACTGCACTATGGATTGAAATTATAAGTATTAATCTGAATGTTGTTGTTATTGTTCATTAACTGTATGGTGTAGTCACCACCCATGGCTACCTTAAGATTTTTTTCTGTTGATTTATTCAATTTATTTATTTAATTTATTCTATCTATTTATTCTATATATTCTTTAGATTAATACCTACATAACTGTGATAAATAATACAAGTAGATTAATGAAATTATTAAATGCAAACAAATATGACAGAAACTTGTATTAAAAAAACAAATTACGTAATCTGAATAAATATATAAATAAAATCAACAACTTTTTAACAATATTATAAAATTAATAATCAACACTTGGTAATATTTAAGAGATAGATCCATGGGTTTTAAAATAAATAGAGTTTCATCAATACCACCTATATAAATTCAGAAGTACACATTTTTAATTCTTAAGATTTTGTTAAGCGATGAATGAAAAAATGACAAACAAGATATTGGAAAATATTATAACAATGTTCTCAACTTTTTTTTAATACTTTTTATCACCCATTTAATACATTGGTGTTGATGAATACAACAATAACCATAGTATCAAAAAAAAACTAAAAAATTACACTATTTTCAAATAAAATATAAATGACTGACCAGTGGCTATAGGTGGCGACTCCACCATACAAAAATAATATTATACTTTGGTATAAGTTATTAGAACTTCTGAAACAAACAATAATTACTAATTAATATTGGAAATATTAGAATATTAGAATCTTTTTTTTTATAGAATTCAACAAAATCAACAATGTCATTAATAGTTTTGTTTTTATTAATATCAATAAAATATGTTAAAACAAAATAAATATTCAAATTTTTAATTAGATAATAACTCTTAATGTTCATACATAAGCGTGTGCACGGGGTGGGCTTGTTCATGGGCTATTCAGTGGTATAAGAATTCTGATTTTTGATTGTCCTATATCAACAAAATTAACAAGATTCTCTTAAATCTAAAATATGCAAACAAAAAATGGTTCTATTTAATCGAGGATAAGATAAATTTTGGACATTATATCACAACCAATCAATTTGGACTTAAGGAATATTGTTGAGCATATTATATAAAGCCTTTTTCAGTTTAATAAACAAATTAATATAGGTATACCAAAATAATAATGTAAAATGATGTCATTATGGGCAACAACAACTTTCATAAGTTGTTATCCTAAAATGACGTTATAGTTCACGTGTTGTCTCATCAAACAAACTAGTTATTAATATCATGTTAGTATTCCCTAACAAGTATAATAATGCATAATTTGTGACTTTTAGTGTCATAAAATAATATGCATTTTAAAAGGTATTATTCATCAGTATTATATTATAAAATTACATTTATTTTTGTAAAGTATTAATTTTAAAATTATTTTCAGCTTATGTAATTAGAGATTGGATAGTAAAATTACAAGCTGTATGGATGGATCAGAGTCAAATATTGGTTAATGGGATATGTGCAGAACTTGTGAATTGTTGTTCCTTTTTTCTGTGGTCAAATACATCAAGTCACAATGTCACATTATCCATCATATCATATCCTTTTAATAATAACAAAATCATCATAACATTATCATAATATAATATTGTTACAAATGCTATGAATTAACTAATGTTAATTCTGTCTATGAACACAGCTGGTAGAACATGCAATATGTTTTAGTTATAAATTAGTATTCTATAGTTATTTGACTGTAAAATCTCAATAAGTAATGGAAAACAATTACTTTATATCAATTGTATGTTCATTAACTTTGTGTTTTAAGTATAATCAAAGAACTAAATTGAATTTTAATAATATTTTAATAAAAATTATGCCTGGACTTTGAGTTGAATGGGCATATTTATGAACAGAACCGTAGCAGGGTTTATCAAAAAATTTAACGGTAAAAATATTTTGACATGAAAACAAAATAAGACTGAAATTGTGAAATATAATAAAATTAAAAACAAAATAAATTAACTTAACTTACTTCTTAAAATGAAAAATTAATTCATTAATTTCACGTTAATTAAAAAAGAAATTTAGTTAGTTAAGTTAATGAAAATCCAAATGCAACTAATTGGGGCCTGAGCCAGTCTTCCCAGCACTTGCTACTGCTCTGTTTATGAATACACACACATTTTATGGGTAATATAATTGTATACATGGTAACTACTTATTTCAACTTATTGAGATTAAATGAGACAGTAACTGCTAATTTAAGATTTAAGATTTGCATTTTATTTTTTTACAGTTCCTATTGTTTTAAAGCCGTGTAGTGACCAGTGTTTACCCAAGCCTCATAGTTACCAGTGTTTACAAAAGCCGAACAGTTTGCAGTGATTACCAAAGCCGGACATTTACCTGCTTTTTCAAAAGGCATTCAGCCAATATACATTTTTAATTTTTGTGTACGTTAATAGTACTTTTAAATTGGATTTCTAATTAAGACATTTTTATTTTATTTTTTCTATATAATATAAAGTTTATTGTTTGTTAAGTGTTGTTTTATTATTATTATTTTGTAGTTAAATATTTTTTTTTTAAAGTGTAGTAGTTTAGTTTCAAGTAAGTATTTTTTTTTTGCAGGTATAATTTTGTGTAACTATAGTGTAGTAAAAAAGCTTATAAGTCGAGATTTAGGTTCAAGACTTAATTGCATATAGTTACTTTTTTACATATATAATTAATTAAGGCTTATTATCAAAAGCAATGGAAATTGTTGATTCGGTAGCTTCGGTTGATGTTGTTGACTGGAGATCTCTCGAAGGTGGTCAATGGTTAACTGCAGGTGCAATTGATGCTTGTGTGAAGTATTATTGTAAAAACAAATTGACGGTTGATAAAAGAATGAAACAAAAGTTTTTATACGTCAATGCTACTTTAAGTTCAACTATATTGAATAAACCAAATGATGTAACAGCCGACTGTCAATTAATGGAATATAGTTTTAAAGAAAACATAATATTTTTCCCATTTAATGTTGATAACACACATTGGGTATTATTTATATGTGATTTTTCAAATAAAAAAATTACTTTTTGTGATCCTTTTTGTGAGAACATATCAGGAGCATTTATAAAAAAAATTGGCCTACATTTTTGGAAGTTAGAAATATGTATTGTCAAGAATTTATAGAGCCAAGAGATTTACAATTTGTATTTTCTAACATGCAAAATGTGCAAAAAGATGGTTACAACTGTGGTCTCTATGACTCTATGTTGTACATTATATAATGCAAACAATTTGTGGACCATCTAAAATGGAATTTTTCCCTGACAATATGAGAAAATCGGTTAGAGAATCCCTGGACCCAGTGTTCACTAATGATATTGGTGAAGATATTGGCGGTTCTGAAATAAACGTTTTTACTAAACCTTTGGATATTTATGATATAGATTTTAATAATAATTTCCTGATTTACTTCAGTGCGCTCTTAGATTCTGAGTGGTCGGCTATTGTAAAAAATGATGAATGTAGTTACCTCTCTGATTATAATTATGATTCATTTTATAAGAGGCATGAAATTTTGTGTAATTTTGAGGAAAAAAAGAAAATTAAAATAAATAATCCTTCAATAGTTTATGCTATAGGATCAGAATGTTTGGAAGTTGATTGCAACGCTATGTTCCTCTGTATAGTGGTGTTCAGTAATTTAAAGAACATGGATTTGGGAGTAACAGTTATTACAAAATATTTTGGTACTTATTGTCCACATAAACCTTTAACACGTGATATCGATAATGAGGTATTGCACTCAAATTTGTTCTTAGACGACAACTTGCACAATTTTCATGTCTTAAGAACTGGAGGTTTTGATTACAGATTGAGAGCACAAAGTAATTATTGCATAAAAAATTTGACTGAACAATATATAAAATTAAGTATGTATTTGAATCGTTTAAAGTCCTACTTGGAAATATCTAATACCAAAACGAAGATGATTTTGCATTTTGTTTTTCATTAATTAAAACCGACATGTATTATCCAGTGGTTGAAAATGTATTAAGGTGTTTACATTGCAAACTTACAACAAATAATAGTTCATTGATATCTACTATTAGTAAAACAAACAAACAATTACAACAAGCTGATGTTGTAAATATTGTTAATAACCATGCACAGTGTGATAATATTATTTTTAATGATGCTAAGAATAATACTAATAGTTTCACAAATTTCTGTGGATCTTGGATTTTGACAGAATCTGAAGTGGCACAGACAAATTATCTTGAAAACCATGACCATGTAAAAAAATTATTTTTTCAAAAAATGATTGAGATTAAAAATTATTGTGTTTTAAAATATTATTCTTCAAGAAAAAATAAAAAGGTTAAAATTACAAAAGAAGGAAAACGCCTTGCATCGGTGTTTTATGCTCGTTGTAAGCATGATGATTGCAATCATTATGTATTTAGATTTTTGGTAGATCCAGACAACACAATATACACTTTGGAATTATTATTGTCTACAAAAATTGGTAGTAATCATAAACCGGGAATATTTCATGCACCTTCATTAACAGGGTTAAGAAGGCAAGCTATCAAAGAAGAGTTATCTCATAAAACTGCTGCCATGATCAGAAGAGATGCTATTTTGAAGGCTGATCCTGAAATGTTAGCTGCTGGTAACTTGAGCAACATTTATTCAAAAAATGCTCTGCAGATGGCACGAAATGAAAAACTTGCTGAAAACGATTTACATTGGGACGATGTAGCCGATTTAATTTTAAGATGCAGAAAGGAACGAGACATATGTTCACCTGATGATATATATGTACACCAAGCCAGTGACCCAATTGGTTGTCTATTTTTTTCTGTACAGCATTTTAACTCTATTCAAAGTGTTATCGATAAGTCCTCATTAGTCTTATATTTAGATGCTACTGGATCTGTAGTGAGAAAAATAAATGCAAAGGGCAAAAGGGTATATTATTATGCCGGTGTTGTGAATATAGATAGTAAATTAATACCTTTATTGAATTTTGTATCATCCGAACATAACATTGCGGCTATTAGCTGTTATTTGATGCGTTTCAAACAAAGTTTTGGACAAAAGTGGCCAATATTTAGGACTGTTGTTTTAGATTTTAGCATGGCATTGTTAAGTGCAGTTTGTAAATCCTGGAACAAATTGAGTTTAATTGATTATATTAATAATTGTTATAAATACTGAAAATCTGATGAACCAAATCAACAATTTATTGTTATACTGCTGTGTGGTTCACATTTTCAACACATGATATCTAGATGTGTCAAATCCATCACAAAGAGCAAAAAAATTCATGACTTTATTTTGGACTGTACCGCATTATTGATCATAAGTACAAATCTGAATTCAATAAGGACTACTATCCGATTAATGTTTAATATTCTCCTAAATCGGAAAAAACTGTGCTGTGCTCACAGTATGAACGCGTTAAGTGATCAGTGTCATTCGGTTAAAGCAAAAGAACCAACAAGCAATGATGACGTTTCTGATGACGAAGCAAAGTTTATATATGGCAACAGCAGCAACTTTAAAGAGAAAAGTATGTTTTATGTTGATTTTGAAAAAATTTATAGAACTGTCTCTGATACATGTAAAATAACCGACAATTGTGAGTTATCACCCAATAATGAATATTATTGTGAATTGTTTGCAAAAAAATTCTGAATTTGTATTTACCATTCACTTGTATGTGGACAAGATTGATGATGCCACAAGAAGTTATGTCAAAATATTCGGTTAAAACTGTTACAAACGGTAATGTAGAAAAGCATTTTGATAACGTAAAAAATTCTTTGATGAAAGGTGAAACAAATATGAAACTTGGTCGTTTTGTTATTAAAATTCAAATTTACACTGAAGCTGTGTGTAAAGAAATAAAAGATAAAATACCAAGGGTATTGTACAAACGTAAAAAAAACCAAATACAAATTCCATTTAGACATTTTTTAACAGACCATAATTATGCATTATTGAGTTCACAGTTTAATAAAAAATGTAAACAGAGTAGCTCAGAATGGGACAAAAAACATTTTACCCTGGTGACCCAGGGAATATCTTTATTGAAGAACAATGGAATAAACGATCAAAAATAGTTCAAAGTCATTTCAGTCATACTAATATTCAACGGTTGAGTTATGATTGGCAGTATAAAAGTACTGAAACAGTTGTTCAATATGATGATGATCAAAATGGACAGGATAAAATATTAAACTTACCTCGATATTCCAACCACTTGTTCACTGATATTAAATATTATTCTCCGTGTTTAAGTGAACAGTATGTAGTTGGTGTGTATTCGGGTGAAGGTTATAAGTGTGTGACTCTGTATGGTGAAGATTTTCGTAAATTGCAAAACAACACTTGGTTAAATGGAACTGTGATTGACGCACTGCTATTGACTTATGTGAATAATGAAATTGGTTATATTCCTGCGGAAATAAGCAATACAATTTGGTCAAGTACCAAAGTTAAAGTAGCCAAATTGATTGGACTAAATACTGTGTGTTATTTCTACCTATCAATCCTGAAGGTAATCATTGGACTTTATTTATTATGGACTTCATTTTTGGTTGTGTATTTTACTTGGATCCTCTGCGTCCAGAATCAGGTGACTTGTACTTACCTCGATTAAAAGAAATGTTGTTTTCAATGTGTGGTAATGAAAAAGCAAAATATTTGTTGCATAAAATGGTTCTTAAAAATATTGAGTATCCTTTACAGAATGATAGTAACAGTTGTGGAGTGTTTGTGTTGTATTATTGTAGTACATACAATCCAATGTTTACTCAGAGCTTTTCAAAGGAAGTTAATGTGAGTGATTTAAGAAATACATTGCAGAATCGATGTTTAATGTACTCTGATAATATCAGTGAAAGATGCCTTATGTGTGCACAAAATATAAAAGTAAGTTTTACTTGGATTAAGTGCAATACATGTGAGCGAAGAGTTCATAATGTGTGTGTAGGTGGTGTATGCTACAAATTTATGACTAAGGAATTGAAAAATGAAAACTTCACTTGTATCTTATGCAATAAGTATATTAATTAAGTAGGTACCTATTTTATAATTACCAAATAATAAAGTACAAAATAAAAACTAATATAAAATAAAGATAAACAAACTAATACAATACCTATTGTAAGTAATGAATGGTTGGTTACATAAGTTGGGTGTAATTTATAAATTACACGTAGAGTAAAATGGAATCTATTACCTAACATAAAATTGGGTACCTATGTAACTAAGTCATATCTTTAAAAGTGGGAATTAACTAGGTAGGTAGTAAAAATGTTTAAATTAAAAAAAAAAGTTAATTGTTTTAAAATGAACTTAAATTCAGAATGTAACCAGTTAAATTTATTATTTATTAACTATCAACTTTTGAGTTAGAACAATCTTGTGTTCACTTAACTTAGGTTATCTTGAGTTAATTATATTCATTAACATGCCCACAATTGCAAATCTTAGTGTTAACTCCACCATTGACGGTCCTCAGTCCGTATGAAAAAGGAGGAAGGACGCTTTAAAGACATTTTTATTTTTTAATTGAAGTATTAAAAATTAATCATGCCTCTCTTGGTTTTAAAGTAATGTATTATTCTTTTAAATTGTTTTTAAATCTTAATATTATTTTCTATATTGTGTTTTTTTTTATTTTGAAGGGTATACCATACTGCCATTGTCCAACTGTGAAGAAGTAGGTAGCCAATTTTAATAGTGCAGATCTTCGAAGACCAGGATGTGTAGACGTGTATCGGAAAATGGCAAAATATACATAGTTCAGACTTTAGAAATTTAGTTAGAGATGATTTTTGGAAATTGGATTCATTAATTAATCTTTGGACATTCAAAGTAACTTTATGATAAACATTAGTAAAACCCTAATAAATGTATTTTTTTAATTTTGTAGATTATACCATACTACCATTGACCGAATGTGAAGAAGTAAGGTAGCCAATTTTAGTAGAGCAGATCTTCGAAGACCAGGATGTGTAGATGTGAATTGGAAAGTGGCAACATATACCTAGTTCAGACTTCAGAAATTTAGTTAGACATGACTACATGAGTTATGGAAGTTGTATTCATTAATTTTTGGTCATTCAAAGTAGCTTTATGATAAACATTAGTGAAACCCTAATAAATGTATTATCTATCTAATAATTGTATTAAATATAATTAAATAAGATTTTATATTTAACTTATGATTAATACAGCAAATAACTAAATTACTAATTGGTACAATTTGAATATTCCAATTCAAAATTGTTCAAAGAACTTGGTATTTACATTTTTCTAAAACAAATAATAATTTGATAATAATAATAATAATAATGACACAGTTTAACACTTAAACCATAATAAGGATCAGTGGTGTTCCACAGATTCTGATTTTTTTTTAAACTGTATTCATTACTTTTATAATTTTAAATGACAAATATGTATGTAAACTATTTTGAGCTATTTATGCATTGTTTAATATACTATAAAATGTAAAAACTTATATAAATACTGTTTTATTTTACGGCTGTGTTACACAAAAATGTTATAAAATATTAAGTGTTCAGACATTCAAAAAGGTTATGAATATATTATACATAAAATGTTATATACATTATTATTTATATTATTGGTACTAGAATATTATTACTTTTTTGAGATGTTGATCATGTTTAGTGTAAAAATATAAATTACACTTAAGTAAACGGGGGCTGTGAAGAAAATTAACCGATAGTGTTATACAGTTCATTAGTACATAATATAGTCAGAGTTGTCTATCATAAAGTACTATTAATTGTATGCGTATATTAAATATGCATTTATTATATTGGTATGATTGGTAGTAATTTGTTTTGAATTTAGCAATATAACTTCAGTAATATTTATACGAGATAAATATTTCAATTTTAATGACATTGAACATAAACAATAATGTATAATGATTTATTTCCATATTTAATTATTCAAATAATGAATTGTATATGTAAGATTGTTTATTTAAGTTCAATAAGCCGACATGTATGGCGTAGAGCCTAAGAGAATAATAATGAATAATAAATTAACAATCTTATATAATGCTTACCTGAAACTACCTAAACACATAAATAATACATAAGTATATAGTTTAATATGTTATTACTTTTTGTCTTACAAGTTACTATGTTAAGACTCATAAAACATAATCGACATAATCTAAATACCACATTACCACTGCCTAATAAATATACTAAGTAAAGTAGTACACAATATGATTGGAAATTTATGTCATTATATTATATTCAGTTGCAAGGCCACATCCAGAAATTTTTTTCGGAGGTGGGTCCATAACATGTATATTGTAATTTTATTGAATTTATATGTTTTGATATTTGGTTGAAAATAAGATATGTTGAAAACATTTCGGCCTTCGGGGGGTAACCCCCCCCCCAGGTACGGCAATGGTCAGTTGTGAAATTGTATTTGTATATATTATAAATATTAAATATTTTTAAATTCAGCGGCCTGCGATAATGTTAATTGTTGTTTATTCCAAGCCAAACTGATATGATATTTTCATCCATGAAAGTGATATAAACCGTTTTTCTAGTGATATAAACCGTTTTTATTTACTGTCTGGTAAATACGTCGACCAAATTACTAAAATAATATTGACATAGACATACCGACGATATAATATACGATAACACGATGTTATAATATAATATATATTATATATATCAATTACTTCTATACATTTTTATTTTTAGATAATTATAATTTACAAGTATCTAGCGGTATCGGACTCTCCTGTGACGAGCCGCCCTGGGTATTATTGGGCACAAAACGGCACAACGTCAACCAACACAATAGCAGTGTTTATTTACATATATACGAATTATTGTACAAAAATACTTTGTGAAACATTTACAATGACGTTGGACCCGGGCGGTCGGTTTTCCACGAAACTAGTAACCAACAAACAATAGGAACATTGGGTGGGTTGGCGTGTGGTGTAGGCTGTTCAATATTTAAAAATTTTAAAAATGTATTATAATAATATTCTGACATTTAAATTTGATAATAGGTTAATTCACTCCTTAGATCATATACTTAGTATAGTTTTATGTATTAATTTTATGTACGAATCAGTAAATATAAAACAACTCATCGGCGAGTGCATGGTAATACATACATTATAGTATATTTATGCCATGGGCGAGTGCAAGAAAACTATACTGAACCAATTTAAAAAAGGTGGCCAAGTGGGTGTCGCTCTGCTGTACAGTAGGTTAAAAGGGGTCAATGTATAATGGATGATATTAAATTTGAATTCAACGATAATATAATATCATTGTATAAGAAAACCGATTTTGAGCGGAGACGGTATGTCGGTCTATGTATAATTTATAAGACATATTATATACAAATCTATGGTATAAAACAAAAAATTGACCTTCAATGGGTACCTATAATAAATTCCAAATTAATCATATCACAATATCCATTAGGTACTTATACCGCGTTATACATCAACAACAAACGCTGATACTATCATAGATATATAATAGTACACTTTAGAAGTTTCAAGTACCCACGAATAATATTATTCAATCACAACAAAATAACTAAAACAGTTATTCTAGGGTTTTTTAATATGTAATTTCGTCCAAATTTGAATTTAAAATGTCTGTAAAAAATAATTGTGTTCATATATTTTTTAGATTTTTTGGTTACAGTATGAACTATTTATGTGAACCTTTGTTTTAAATTAGCAATCCTTGGCTATAAAAACTGAACATTTTATAATTTATTAATTACAATGATTGATAATTTTCGAGATTTTGATAAATTTTGTCAAAATTCGATCTTTAAATGCTTCTAAAAAAAAACTGTGCCTATGTATTTTTAATATTTTTCAACTGATATTGTACTAATATATCAGGAGCCTTGTATTCAATTTTTACACTTTTTGGCCCAACAGATAAAACTTTATTTCACTCAGAATCTAAAACAATAACAAAACGAATATCACAATGTGTAAGTAATAGGTACCTATTTCTTTTTTTTACATTTACTTAATAATAATTCTACCTAAAATTTTAACAACAGTCTATACTTCATGTTGAATAACATTTTTTTAGAATACATTTTTAATTTTTATGTCGCTTATGAAATAGAGTGTTTGTTTGATAACGGTTTCGTTTGGACCTAGGGTTTGGGAGAAGAACTCAGGAATGTTGGGTTTGATTCTGGCAACTACTGTTTGTCTGCATTCGACGAGGATATTATGTTTGATTAAGTAGGTACCTATGACTATTTTGAGTGTGTTATCATAATGCGATTGAAATGTTCGTGCATATAAATTATTAGTTTTCAGTGAACGTAATATTGTCATACTGATATTAAAACTAGCAACTTTTAAATAATGTATTTGTATATTAAGTAAATTATAATTTATAATATCATGACATGTAATCACATGGTCAAAATTATGCACATATTTCCCTAGAAGGAACAAAAAGTTTGGCCAAACTTTGTAAAAACAGAAGGTGTGTTTTTCGCAGATTTAAATTAAATACAGGTTGCACTTTCATATGAGTATTAATTAAAAATGGCTACTGAAATGTTGAAAACGACTAAAATGTGTAATATTTTTAAGTGACGTATATTACTACAAACTAATTTTATCGACCTAAATAACTTATTATGGAAGGGTTTTCAGAATATGCTTAATGTATAGCAGTAAATTACGTTCGCTCCACTGATAATCTAAAAAAGTAATTGCTTGTAGTGAATTTCCTTTCATAACATTTATTAAAGAGTAAAGACAATACTTAATACTTATATTTCACCGAGTTTAGTAGAAACGTCCCCCGAAAAATTTTCAATATTGGTACAATAACAAAAACAATCAATTTGTAGATATTTGCCGGGACGACTGACGACCAGATGAATTATGTCTCATTGTCGCGTGCCGCGCTTTCTTGCATTGTTAATTCTATATGGATGCCTACAGGCTACGGGCTACGGTGAACGTTCACTTGGGTTTTTCATTCTCAATAATTAATCGT